TATAGCATACATTATACGAAGTTATACGAAATGGAACAAAATCACGACACGCGTGCACACGTAAAAATAAAATAATAGATCCGTTTTTGGAAGTCGTCAAACTTTACGGATGGAAGCAGAATACTATCACAATGAAAACTACAAATTTATCAGGTCGTCAACAATCAAAGACCAATGACCGGCCTGAAAAACATCGATCGATCGAGTGACACGATAATTAGCATAATCCGACTGCTTCGACTTTTCTTCTCGTCTAATCGACCGTTTCAAGCACATCCAAGAAACCGTAAACGCTATCTTGGAATTATAGGGAGCTCGGTGCCTCGCCTTCCTGTTGTACGACTGTCCTGTACGGACAGGACGGAGGCAGTCGATCTCCTCGTGACGTCACCGAATGATCGACGAACGGACAGTCGAAATAACGAGATGACGCGCCAAGGCTCCGCAGATAACAGTAAAAATTCGCAAAAAAAACGGCGACGACCCCGACACACCGACGAACAAAAAGCGAAGCCCAGAGGCGCCGTTCCTCCTCGTGGATAAGACCAGCCGGTCGATCTGATCGCCGGTTAGTACCTGGTTAACCGTCCTCGAGAAGGCCGCCGCCTCGATTCGAAGATTCACGCGCATCTTCGCGTTCCTTTTTCTTTCTCTTTGTCTTTTTCCCGTTTCTCGATTTTGTCCTCATTCGTTTCCGTACGGCGCGCTTCGCTTTATCATCGCTAGATTCCACACTGGTGGGTATGCACCGCCGCGTATTGTGAGTGCAACCAAGAACGTGTCGCCGGACGCAAAATGCGCCTTGCAACATTGTGAGTCGATATAGATAAATAGCTTCCGTCTCTTAATTATGACACACACACACACACAAGCGTTGCCGAAATCAACGTCGTTTTGACAAACGGAATATACACTCAAAAATTTAGATCCTATAATTTTGGGATAAAACCAGATATAAAATAATTCGCAAGCACACAAGACTTGCGAATTATTTTGAAGTAATGTTTGCTCATATTTGTTAATTTGTTTAATTTTAAATTGAATAATTTATTAAATAGATGGCTTTTTGCTTAATATATATTTAGATGTTGATTAAATCAAGTCAAATCCTTATCATTAAAATTGTTGATTGAGAATTAATTACAAACATATCTAATATAAAAATATTGTTGCAATATATTTACTATTACAAAATTCAGGAAAGAATTCTTCCAATACGGTCAATATAATTTCTTTATTCCGTCGCACCTTTGCCGTTCGCGGTCCCGTTACATCTCTCTCGATCCTAGCGTCTCACAGTGCTAACAGCTTCATTTAGTTAACATCTCGATCTATCTGATCTTTCTATTTCTTTCTTTGATTTTATTCAATATCTCACATCATCATTACAAAGATCACTGATCATTGTTTGCTATTTACTTCGTCCGATCGTTTAGCTACTATATAAATTTCATTTTCATAAAATTATCCCGTTATTATGCGTTATTTCATACGTTAATATCAGTTTTAGGCCCACGATAGCAGTGTAATTAATTTTTAACGTCACGACATGACGTTCAATTTATATTCAACAGCAAATGCTACAACGTGATACATCAACATTACAAATTTACCTGCATTATCGCAACGAATGATATTGTCGTGCGATAACACGACTTTGATATTTATGTTAATATTACGGGGATACGCGAGAGAAAGAGAAAGCACGTATCGTGATAAACCGTATCCGTGAATGTCGTATCGCAAGTATGAATGAAACCCCTGTTAGATCATGCAGATTAGCTAGTAATATAACCAATGTCACATGCACAAAAAACATAAAACAAGTCTCTTTGCGTACGATCGATATCACAATTCGCACACGTGTCACAGTAAGAGTGTCAGTACGTGAGTTAAAAATCGTTATTAAAATACTATTGAAAATATTTTGAGCATACAAAATAACATGATATTCAGTATGCATTGACTACTGCATTCAAAATTTGCCAGTAGATTTATAATCGAGATATTTCAAATTATGCGATATCAGTAAAAGTAAATTTAACAATTTTATTTTGACGTTATAATAAAGAACTGTTACTTTTTAATTATCAGCATCATCCTCTCTTCTCTCTCCTGCGCATTGTCATCAAAGTCAGGGAAGGAAAATGATAAAGAAGAATCTTATCAAAGCCAAGCATCGAATCTCGCAGTTAGCATTTCTGGCAAAAGCGAGCAATCGCTTTCCACATCAACAGACGTTCTGGGGAGAAGAGTAAATATTTTATCGGAGTACAATCCTTTAACCCCGGATATCCAGGAAAGCAACGCAAATAGTTCGTATCCTGTCAAAGTAGCGCGCTCGAAATACGTACAGAAGTTGCCGGAGGAAGAGATAGGAGAGGTAGCAACGGATGTGTTACAACCTAAAGATTCCGACGGAATTACGTACATTCTTGCAAAAGAGACGAATCAAACGAGAGATGGAATTCGACATGGATTTTTAAACGCATCGCGCATTTCTGAAGGCTTTGCGACACTGGGATCAACGGAAAGGAAAAGAAAAAATGAAGAAGGTGGAAAGACAGAGAATAAACTCGCGCAAGAAAAAGAATCCTTGGCCAAACCGCCGAATGATACGGATATAAATAATATTTCGAAATTATCGAGCAATGCAACAGATAACACATTGCAGAAAAGAAAATTTCTTCAAGAACAAAACAGTAGCTTTCAAGTGAATAAAAATTCTAACAGCGCTGACACATTTCCGGCGACGAAACACCTCGCTGAGAACTCGAGCGAGAGTTCGGTCCGATTGACCAACGTGATCGCGGATTCAAAAGTTGAAGACCAAACTCTGAAAAGTCGCACTGACCAAGAGAACTGGGAATCCAGGGAAGATTATCTGATGGAAGCTGCGAGTTTCGGACTGCAAGCCATGCACAATCTCTATTACATCCAGGAACCTAAATTATATTCAATGGGTAAGCATTGAAAGAAAATAAGTCGATTTATCGCGAAAAGTTTTAACTACCGTTAGAAAATTCCTATCTACGAAGAATTTGACAAACAATACAAAACAACATACAGGTCTCTATCTTGGAAGCGACAATCCAGCGAGATATGTAGCAGCGTTTAACGATCAGTCGGAAGAAGCGAGAGATCTCGCGAGATTCGGATACGCAGCCCTTCAAAGCACCACCATGTTCTTAAAAAGGCAAGCTTTTGTTAAATAACAAGCAGTTTACAGGAGTGAGAAACTTTATGTCTATTCCCGTTCCGATTGTCTTCCCAGGTTTCCCGACGCGCCGTTAGAATTATCTTTATCCCGAAGTAAGTTCACTCGAAGAACCTTGTTGGAACAACAATGCCCACGGAGAGATCCACCTCGATGCCCACCGGCTAGCCTACGATACAGAACCTCTGACGGCAGCTGTAATAATCTGCAGAATCTTTGGTGGGGTTCCGCAATGTCCGCTATGCAAAGGTAAATATGAGCGAAAACAATAGCAACGTCCATCTCCGTGTGAAATTTGTTATTTTCTCACATTATACTGAAACAAATATTTTCTTGTTACACTCAGATTTCTGCCACCGGAATATCATGACGGCGTACAAAGCATCAGGAAAACAAAAAATGAAAGACCACTGCCAAGCGCGCGAGAGATCACGAATGAAATCCACGAAGAGAAGGACGTACCTCTGGCTTCTATTACTCACATGCTAATGCAATGGGGACAATTCGTAGATCACGATTTAGCAGGTACACTAATCAGAAAAAAATCACGGCATTTTTTTTAATTGAGAATTCTTTTAAAACATAACGCAACGCAATTATATTAACAGCGACCGGACAAAGCAGAGGATTCAACGGCACAGTGCCGCAGTGTTGTTTGCGAGGAGGTGTCGGTTTTCAATCGCCAGAATTGATGGTAAAAAGTGTATTAATAAACGTAATTTCTATTTATACATCGGCAGCATCCATTAAAACATTTCGAAATGTATATCTGATTTCTGCGAAAAGCGTTTATATTGCGCTGACGTTTGCTTTAAATTTTTGATACTTTAATACGAGTAATGTTGTCACGGAAAGAGAGTAATTTTCGTTCTACTTTTTACATTTCGATATTTTCTACGAGAAAGAGCATTAAGGAAAAGTGCACCTCTAATGTATGTCAATAGCATCCAGAGTGTCTACCGATAGCAGTAAATCTACGCGACAGTTTCTATGGTCCTCTGGGCGTAAGGTGTTTGGAATTTCTCAGAAGCGGACCGGCTCCTAAAGAGGGCTGCGAATTCGGCCCCAGAGAGCAATTGTCCCAGGTGACTAGTTACTTAGATGCCTCCATGGTTTATAGCAGCAATGCCATGCAGAGTGATAGTCTGAGGATATTCCGGAACGGTGAGTACATTTCTTCCAATAATTTCAGTAGAGAAGAAAAGAAAGTAAGTCTTCTTATTTGTGCAAGAACCCCTATTTTTCAACAAAATGCCGATTCCAGGCCTGCTGCAATACGGCAGAATTCAATCGCGAAAACCTTTGTTGCCGAAACGCGAATCCGATCTATGCAAACGCGGATCGCTATCGACAACGTGCTTCCGAGCCGGTGACGGACGTCTCAGCGAGCAACCGGCTCTCACATCTCTGCACATCGTCTTTCTGCGATTGCACAACAGAATAGCTACGGAACTATCGGCCCTAAACTCCCACTGGAGCGACGAGAAACTTTTTCAAGAAACTCGAAGGATCGTCGGCGCTGTGGTTCAGCATATAACTTATCGAGAATTTCTACCGATCATTCTTGGTAAAACAACTTTCTGTTCGACGTTACTATATTTACTTGACAATAACGCGCGCGCCGATAATGTCGTAAATACTAAAGGAGATAAAGTGTTCTAAAAGCGAACTACGAAACGTTTTAGGTCCCCAAGTGATGAAAATCTTTGACCTGGAAGTTCTGAAAAAAGGTTACTACGAAGGGTACGATCCGACCGTAAATCCCACCATTGCAAACTCATTTGCTACAGCAGCTTATCGATTCGGCCATTCTTTGGTTCAACGGAGTTTCATTAGATTTGATAGCAATCACCAACCGATATTGAATAGTAAGTAAAATTATAATTTCGTAGAATATAAGCAAAACTAAACTAAGTGTAATCTTTAAACATCAATCATTGAATTAACACATCCTGTCGCAGTGCATTCGCTGCATAGCAGTATATACGGTTGCATATGTAGAGGCGACATGAGAAAAGCATTTACTCTCGACATTATCAAATTATTTCAAAAGTTTACATTTTTAAAGTTGTTTTAAAATGATTTCATACTTTTAGTCGAACGTAAACTAATTGTCAATTGAGAGAAAAAACTGTGGACAAAAAGTAATAATATTGTGGCGTATGATTCTATAAAAAAAATTAACAGAGAGAAACCTATAATAATCAAAACGCGGATGTTGGAACGCGAAAAATGTTTATTACTGGAAATAATATTGATTATTAATTTTATATTGTTGTACATTTTCGCAATAAAATTTAAAACACGCAAAACGTTTGAAATAATTTATATAAAACTTTAATCACGTACTTTACGTACGTAACTTTAATTTTACTAGAGCAAAAATGATCAAGCAACATCCAGTATAAAATCGACAATAAATGTCATAGATGTCTCGATTCACGACGAATTCAGCAATCCCGCGAACCTGGAGGCTAGCGGCTCCGTCGATCGTCTTGTCCTGGGCCTAGTGAATCAACCGTGCCAGAGGCGGGACGTATTCATAAGCGAGGAGATGACGAATCATCTCTTTCAAACGCCCGCATTCGCATTCGGCATGGATCTGGCGTCCCTCAACATCCAACGGGGCAGGGATCACGGTCTACCGCCTTACGTGCGATGGCGCGAGCCGTGCAGCTTGTCACCGATAAGAACCTTCGAAGATCTCGATAAAGTGATGTCGCCGAACACAGTGAGGAAATTTAGATCGCTGTACGCGTCAGTGGATGATATCGATCTGTACACGGCCGGCCTGGCGGAAAAGTCAGTGGTCGGCGGTCTGATCGGGCCGACCTTCGCCTGCATAATCGGCCAGCAATTTAGCAATCTGCGACGCGGCGATCGATTTTGGTACGAAAATCCCGAAAGCGAGAGCAGCTTCAACGCCGGTCAGCTGCAGCAGATCAGACGAGTCACTCTCGCTCAGGTGCTCTGCCGTACGATGGACAGCATCGAGACTATACAACCGTTCGTCTTCCTCGCGGCAGACGCGTTGAAGAACCAGCGTCTCTCCTGCGACGATCCGACCATCGGGCAATTGAATCTCGAATTCTGGGCCGAACGGCCGTCCGAATTCAGAAGCAACGACAACGACGACGACCCGCAGAAGACTAAACGAACAACGATCGACATAAACACTCCCGAATCTAGAGTGAAAGGGGAGAACGCTAATTCGCAGAGAAAGCATAATGAAGAACAGGCGAAGATCACATCTCAGAAGCCTTTCAAGACCGGCGTCAATCAGAACAATAAAATCGTGGTGAAGAGACCGTTCGGACGTCCCGACAACGGCAACATCACAATCATGGTGCAGAATCACGCGGTGAACTCGCCTGTCTTCGTGAACGAAGGTATTTACGGTTCGCACATCAGAATACAAGAACAACCCACCGTCAAACCAACCTCGAATCAAGCGAGTAATCATCCCGCGCATCGGCCGCCAGGAAAACCCATACCGATCGTTATTCCTCACTTGGCGAATTTTCACTCGACAGATCATTCCCCGTATGTTCCTTACGCTTTCAACGATCCCAGCAATCCGAATCCGCTCGCTTACGGATACAGATCGCCCGCCGCCGCCGCCCCGCAAGACGATGTCTTCTACGACAACTATCCACCCACCAGTCCCAGGCCTACTCTCTACACTTATTACACGAGTTTCCAGCAGAAGCCTACGCGAATACCCGATCACAAGATCGACGGTTATTTGATCAACTATGGACCCGGCTATCACGAGCACGGCTCACTTCCGGCGCATACTCATGAAAGACCGAAACCTCCAGTACATTCTGGTCCCCATTATGATTCAAATAGTGAGCAGAAACCGAATTACAGCAGTTTTAAACCTCCGGCAAACACACGGCCGATTTCTGTACAGAATTATGCATCGCATGATGAATCTCATCACACGCACAAGCCAAGTTACGGCGTGCAGAAACCTCCGACGACCACGCGACCGAATCTCCGGCCGAATTATGAATCGAATAATGGACTCTATCAGGGACAAAAACCAGATTATAATAGACCCAAACCTCCCGCCAACTTGCGACCGAATGATGAATCGCACCAGAAACCGGTTTATAGTGGATTTATATCTCTAGCAATCTCGCGACCAGATTCCAGACCGGATCTTCTATATGGCACACAAAAACCAGGCAGTGCTGGAAATCCACACTTTCAAAGTGGAGTTCACGACTTGAATAACAGACCGAGCGAAGGTTACCCTGGTAATCTAAACAAACCGCAGGGACAATGGAGCTCAAACGGTTATTCGAAAAGACCTGACGACAAGCTGTACGACGATGACGATCCCGATGCGTACCGGAAGAGGCCAAGCGTCAAACCACCGAGCTATAGCACTGAAAGTTTTTCGGTATCGAGCAACAAGCCAAGCGAATATAATTCTCAATTTTGGAAAGAAGCGTCGCCTGCTACTATCAAGGATTCCGCGCAAGATAGATTGTACGGATCCGTTCCAACGTTTTCTGGAACGAATACTCCTTCTTATCAAAAAGGCACATTGTTCCCCGCGAATCACGACAATTATAATCGATATTCCGATGCTACATCGATTCATCAAAAGATAGCGTCCTCTACGCCGAGTAGTCGGCCAAATACCGCGTCCTATGTAAAAGAAAGCGGCACTCGGCTTCCTCAAAGCGACACTTTTACTCTATACAGTTCTTCGTCCTCTCAGAAACCGACAAGTGATCCAAGCTATCAAAAAGATGATCAATCGCAACTGCCTTTCTACTTGAAAGAATCGGTCGACAGACCACACAGTACTACAGGATTTTTATATGACGAAACATATAAAAATCCTACGAAACCGCCTTATTTAAAGGATCAATTTGCATCCAGTACTCCACTTCGACCAGAAACTTCGACGATTGGTTTTCAAGTGCACAAACAGGAGGAAAATCTCAGTTCGAGGCCAACGAAAGTACACAGCGTCACGATTGTCACCGAAACGATCGAAACTATTCATCATCCCGGTCAATCCGGATACATACCTCAGCACAGGGTTACCAGCGAGATTCCAAGACCACTGGCGCAGCAGATAAAAAGCAATGTTCCAATTGCCAAGAAACCTGGACAGTATTATTACGAAAAAAACGTGCTGCATCGATATCCGGGTGAAGTCGTCGATCAAATTCCCAAAAGTAATCATTATTCGACAGACAAACCTAACGGAACGCTCGTTCAAGATCAAACAACTGCGTCTGAAATAGCAGCAGAAACATCGATTACTGATGATTCCGTAACGAGCTCTGGAGTAATTCAAGGCGATGAAAATAAATTGACAACGACGCCAACACTCGTCATTGCTAATGATAATAAGAGAGGTGATGTAACAGAAGACCTTGCACGCACTTTCTCAGCAGACGTAGAAAATGTTGCACTAGCTGACGTTCCCATAAGGTAATTCTCTAAGCTTCTTTAGAAATGTAATCTTAAATCTCAATTCCTATCATTTATTTTAATAATGGCCTTTGCAATTTAATATCTGCAGTAAATTATTATCAGAAGTGTCTACTCAAATCTTAAAACAATATTCTCTAATTTTCCAGATTTTTTCTTCAAATTTCGGAGTAAATTTAAAATATTCCAATTCATATTAAAAAAATAATTTAAAATTACTTGATTTCAGGTATTATTAAATTAAAAAAAAAGAATATTGGAAGAAATGAAAATCCATTTTGCAACTGCTGGCAGAATAAAGTTAATTCACGAAGAATCAATTTCGATCAAAGTTCTAAGAGAATTCTAGGTCTTTCAGATTTTTTCGAGTAATAGACGCTTTATGACAGACGCATTATTTTTATAAAAAAGAACTTCAGTTAAGATTAAAACATTTGATATATTATATGCACTCTTATAACTAACTCAATAATATTATGCATGCAACGCGATCCAAGGCTCTTATTAGTCTTATTAATGTCAATTTTCTAAACTGCGTGTAAGTAACTGTGCTTTGAAATTGCAACACGTACAAGGTGATCATCCTTCTTATGTATCTTATATAATCGACTAACCAGACATTCAAAGCTTATATTTTATTTAATAAAATAGAAACACTATTTTGCAATAGATACCATTTTAATTTATATTAAAAGTAGTCCACACATATACAAGATGTTTAGAAAGTGGTGGTACAAGCAGAAAGGGGGTGATTCTATATAAAAAAATAAGTCAAAAATGTGGAACAAAAATTTTTTATAAAAAGCTTCGTTTTCCTGAGAAACAACTTTGAATATTCCCCAGATACGCGTGCACTTAACTATGTCTCAACGGAGCTATACATTATCTCTGCACGCATTTGTGCTTTCAAACATTACCAATATCAAAACGATATTTTGGTTATACGAATCATGTCTGTATATTCCCGATTGTTATATCTAGCCATATCGATAGAGACTGTGTTATTGTCGTACAAGGTAAGCTAGCAGGGATTGGTACAAAAGGAACCTCATCACTGACAATGTTTGTAAAAACAATGCGTGCGGAGATAACGTAAGTATAGTAAACTCCGTTAAGATCAGACATAATTAAACACATTGTTGACCAATGACGTATCAGCTCAGCATTTGCCGTTATTAACCGGTGACGAGTTTATTCGTGTTTAAGCAGGCGCACAATTAAAACCATACTTTATAGTTGTTAGAGCTTAAAACTGATCAGGCTTTTATTATAGAATTTGTGTTTAAAATAGCCGGCCACAAGCGTTAGTTTCTGCATAATTTACCCGGTCAACAATGTGTCAAGTGCACGCATATCTAACGAATATTCAAAGTTGTTTTTCTAGAAACCTTGTATGCAAATTCTTTATTCTACATTTTCAATTTATTTTTTCACGTAGAATCACCGCTTTTCCCGCTTATATTACCAGTTACCAGACACCTTTATATCTGTAATCTTTAAATTTTCAATTTTATATGTAAACTTTTGATTCTAAATCGAAATAAAAGAATTCTAAAAAATATCCAAAATATTGTAATTTTAAATGAATTTAAAATGTTCAAAAATTACTGATGACTTATTGTTAGTTTCAGAAATTATAAATTTTTTTCTGATAAAACGATTTTTAACAAAACAATTTTATACTTTGTAAATTTTGTTATAGAATAAATTATTGGATGAATCCACAAGAAGATCTGAATTTACCATCGATGCTGGAAATGCCCGAAATTCTATCCGATGAATTCACGAACGACAAGGAATTACCCAAGCCCATTAAATCGAGCAGTCACGCTACTTAAAAATTCTACGCATTTCAATTCGTCCTCCGAACTTTCGATTCTCAAATAAAATCGTTAAAAAGTTTTAGAATTATCTACCTATTTTGCTTATTATCGAACATCGTCGCATTCACGTTTACAATGCAAGAAAGTGTGAAAATGTTAAACTTATAATAGATTACAGAATATTTATTAATAATTTAGACGTTGCTTTAATTTTTTTAGAAAATAAATAAGTAAAGATAAATAAGTAAGCATTTATCATGCGAAATATTTGCAGAGTGTCCCAAACCAACAGTATCGCCCGTTAATAACAGATTTCTGAAGTCATTTAGAGACCGAGAAATTTTTATAACAAAATGTCAAGGCTACAGTAGTTTTTAAATGCAAAGTGTTTAAAATTGCGCAATTTGACTATCAACAATTCACGCGCTCAGGCATGTCGCATAATTTTTATATCCATACCATATAAGAAACCTCAGAAATCTACTATTAACGAGTGACATTTTACATTATTTTGAAATCTACTTTCTCACAATAATATTAAAATAAAATTCACTTACCAGCATAAAGAGCTACTTGTTCACAAGTAGATCTGCAACATACAAAGTACATTCAAATTAAAGCAGCGTTTGAAATAATTATTTGACAAATAATTATTACGCGCATTAAACTTTTACTTAATCTTTTTATGCAAATATCTAATAAAAGAATTATATATTTATCGGAAAAAGTATAATTGAAAAAAAATAATAAATGTGTTAAAAAATCGAATAACCATAAATATTAAAAATTGAAAATCTTTTATTGAATATTTCAAACCTGTGTGCGTTACATTACATAATATTTTATATGTACAATATTTTGCAAGCAACAGATTATAAATAAATGATTATTTACCCTAAAGTTGTTCCACGCCCTTTTCCTGAATCTCCTTCTCCTCTCAATCCTCTTTGCAGTCCTTCAAGGCACTTCGCACGCGAATAGGAAAATCGCAATGTTTTAAACGACACGCCTATTTTGTTACATTAGAGCAAAAGTAAAACTCGCACAAATTATACCTTTAACATTCTGCCGTAATAAGAAACAACGGAAAAAGGTAAAGTCTAAAATTGCGGGGAATAGTAAGAACTATTGGAAAGGATAACGGCATGTATCGGCATGCACATTGTTGCACCTTATACTTTGCATTCTCCTAAATCGGACTCGACGTGGCCTTGTCTTTATATCTTGATACGTGCTCCCTTATCATTTGCATAGCGGCACTTCGTACGAGGCAGATCGTTCCGTATTAGCGTTATCCTTTCCAACACTACTATCCTTATTATTTCCCAGTTTTCGACCTCACTTTTCTTCATCATTATATGTTACGAACGCGATAGAGTATTAAACGTGTAATCCGTACAAGTTTGTCATATTGTTAATGTGACAAAATACGCGTCGATACACGAAAAAAAAGAATGTTGCTATCGCAGTGAAATCGTCGTTATTATTGCATATTATTAGCAGAATAAGGAGCAAAACTTTGTTATCATAACTAATGTTTCAAATTATTCGATAAATCAGCAAAATCTATTTTGCTGGTAGATAAATTTTGCTGAATTCGTTCGAAAAGACACATTAATTTTTGCTGCTACAACAAAACAATTTATTTTTAACAAATATATTTTGCTAATGCAGCAAAATTATCGCTGATAATACAAACATTTTGATGGCAAAGTAAAAATCAATTTGTTATAATAGCGATATAATTTGCAGATTTAAAATTATTTACCAAATAAAATTAGTATTCGTAACAAATCTCTTTTTGCTATCCATATAATAATTAATATGTTTTGTTGTAACAACAAAATTTGCTGTGCCAGCAAATTCTTCTTTTCCGTGTAGTGCCATTTAAAATATTGTGTAATTTTTTTATTCGCGTTGCAAAGACGTGAGTGCCTTGAAGGACTGCAAGAAGGGCTGAGAGAAAAAAAGAGACTTAAAAAGGGCACTGGCGAAGCAACTTTAGAATAAGTCTTTATTTATTTATTATTTGCAAAATATTGCATATAAAATATTATATAATGTATAATGCACAAAGAAACTCTGAAATATTCAGTAAAAGATTTGCAATTCTTTATATTTAAGATTATTAGATCTTTTAACATATTTATTATTCTTTTGAAAATTATAGTTGTTTCAATAAATATGCAATTCTTTTATTAGATATTTGCATTAAAAAGATGAGTAAAAATTTAATGTGCGTAATAATTATTTATCAAATAATTATTTCAAATGCTACTTTAATTTGGATGTACTTTGTAGATCAATTTGTGAACATCTCCGCGCTGCTGCGCATCATGTCGGCAAGTCAATCTAATGTGTTTTATTTTAATATCATTGAGAGAATAGATTTCAATATGTAAAATATACAAGGTTTGTCAGACTAACCGTATCATACCGTTAATAACAAATTTCTGAGATTTCTCACATAATAAGGATATAAAAATCAATATGCAATGTGCCTAAACGCGTGAATTTTTGACAATCTGATCTGAACTTTAAATACTTTGCATTTAAAATCACTTGTAGCCTTGACATATTGGTATAAATATTTTCGTCTCCAAATGACCTCAGGAATTTATTACGGAATCTGATACGCTTGATCTAGGACATCCTGCATATATAATTAGTTATTAAATTTCCCCCCCAAAAAAGTCAACATAATTAATATTATAATAAAGAAGGGAAATAAATCAACCAAAGGAATATAATTAATCATTCAAATGCATACATTATTGTATGTCAAAAAAATAGCTTAAAATAATTCAGAGAAAGAGAGAGAGAGAGAGAGAAAGAGAGAGATTTTATATCAATTAAAAAAAAACTACATTTAGTTCCTTAAAAAACATTATACTATTTTCTGATACGGTCTTCAAAATGTTATATCTCATATATGTCACATAGCTTCATGTAATTAATTAAAAATCATTAAATATCACTATCACTATTAATTAGCACCTACCTTAGCAATTGTGTTATTATAAAATATATATTTTATATTTATTTTACGTTCAAAGTTAGAACGTAATTCATGAGATAATGAAAATAGAGTAATGGACTGAAAAGTGCATTGCTTTAATCATACAAATATCTGAGGATCAATTATCGTATTTTAGATTAAATTGTCGAATGCATTTAAACATTTTAATGACATAGATTTAATCAATCGCAAACTTCATTCACAACATAATAGCTGATACGTTAATTTATGTATTAACAAATTACCAGATTCAATAAAATTTGATCAAATACGATAAAAAACAAACAATTTATAAAAATAAACGTAGAATGCAGAATTGAACTATTAAATTTTCAAAGCGTGTTATACAAATAAATACTTATAAAACATAATAATTATTACTGCCAAATATTATCATTAAAATTATGATTCTTTTGTCAAAATAGAAAATAAAGATAAGACATCTACATCTATATTAATTTATATCCAAATACGCAAATTGTAATAATCTTCTCTAAAATTTACATTTTTTATGCACTTTTCAGTCCATCCATAATTCATTTCAAACTCACTGTCTCATCTTGTTTTCTTTTTTATCAATTTCAAACGAAAAATAGAGTACAATGCAAGTTTCAACTCTTTCAAAATACATATGCACTGCGGAATTCATTTTGTTCGTCATAAATTTTGAAATCGAAATGCACTATCCTCGAAGGATTTATGGCCAACAACGTTTCCTCCACAAACGCCACATGAGGTGTTGTTGGGATTTATAGGAATCTACGAAACGTATACTTATGAAAGAGATATGAAGATATTACAAAAATGAAAGAAAAAACGATTTAAAAAGTAAAACTTAATATCATCAAAACATTAAATAACAAAATTTAGAAAATACCAAAATTTTATAAGAAAATTAAATTGAATTTATACGAAAATTGAATAAATTGATAAAAATATTAAATTAAGTGTCAAAATCTGACACATATCTAAAAACAATCACACACACATTTCTTTTTTGAAAAACGACTGCAATTTCGTTAGTCTTAATTTTTTTAAGATTCCCCACTGTTTTTCCTACTTTCGACGAAACTTTTGTTCGAACCAGCCGCAGGTTTTCGGGTCACCGCAGCAAAAGCCAACGGCCGTCGCGTGATCGAAATGCACTTTTCGGTGTCGTGAAGTGTGACCCCGATTTCGCCGCACATTCTGCGCCACCCGAATTCGATGAGATGAGAAACGATGCGCACTGGGATCTTGGTTGACCAAAGGATATCACCCGGACGTACTCTTGCCATGTAATCGATGGCCACAGTGCTCACAACTGACTGCAGATCCCAACGAGGATTTTTCTCCGAGCACGAACAAAGCGATATTAATCGGTTAGTCAAAATCCTTCACCAAAAAATGTAGAAATAAAATCATTGATAAAATAAATTTCTTTTTTAACGCTTCCTGCGTTCCAACATCTCGCATTATTATGAATAATTCATTATTCATAATAATGAATTATTCAAGTTGTCAGAACATGAGAACTGAAAAAAAATTCTTTTATCAATTGATCTTATTTTCTATGTTTAGTGAAGAATTACAACTAACGATTTACATCGCTTATATATAAATGCTACTCTATATATCTTAATAACGCAGTAATTCATTTATAAACTTTAATATATATGAAAAGAAATATTTATAAAAGAAGTTCTCCCGCGCGCCTTACGATACATGAAACGCATGATGTAATTGCCTTTGTAAGATAATTCGAGCATCATCATACATAATTCTCACGGTAATCTTTTACGGCAGTTATCACGATACGCATCGTGAACACTGCTTTCCTTTAATACAGTGCGTCGTTATTACGTCAAGGAAAACGTAACATTCGTAAGCTGTTATTGGCATAATATCGCGTACATATTTCGATTTCAAGCTTCTATCAAACAAAATGACCGCAATGTCAAAAACAGTGCATGCATATATCTATGTGTGAATCTGCAACTCACGGTTCGATGTTTACTGCTCTCGCTCCTCGGTTGATGTTATTGTAGCAGCGAATCCCTTCCGGGAAATACATTGCCGCTCACGCAAGAAGTCTATGACCTGATCGACCCCTGTCGATTTGCTGTTTTATCTTTTTTTCGACCACTTTGTTTCACACGCGAATTTTCGGAATTTCGTCGATGCTTTGCGTAAATTGCAAACAATTCATGGTCTCTAAATACACTCTCGATTTCCAAATTCGTCACTTATAACGGCGATACTGCAACATGCGTGGATAATTCAATGATAAACACTTTTATTAACGCAAAAAAAATGAAATAGAAGAGTGAATGAGACTCCATTTTTGCTGACTAATCATATACTCAACCGACGCCTCGCGTGAATTGACGATTAGTTTCTAAATTCACTTTCGATCTGAATCCATCACACATAACAGCGATGTCGCAAACGGTCGCATCGGTAATTCCGCACTAAAAGTTTTCGTTAATGCGAAAAAAGCAGGAAAATGTAAGCACGATCGACCACTGTGCATTTTTATGCATAGTTTTAGCGCGCGCAACTTTACACGATATAACGAAAATGTTTTAACAAAATTGAAGTTGCATCACTCAGTTATGCCACTACAAAATAAAAATATTGCATCTGGGAGAATTTAGTATTATTTTACTTTGATTATCTTAATTTTCATCTAAATACAATCGATGTTATTCGAATGAACAATTTAATGTAGTTAATATTATTTTTAGTACGCAATATTACTTTTCCTTCAATGCTAAATTTTTACTATGTACATTTTTTTAATAGAAAAATTAATATTTTCCCAAATGTTCTTCATTTTTCTAAAGAAATTAAATAAAATCAAATCCATACTTTCGATGCTTACATAAATCATTTACTTTTCACATACATATATCTCGGTTGAACAGTCGAAAAATCGGTCGAAATTATAACCTAAATGTCGGACAACAGCCCCGCGAATTAACCTGCGTCCTTGTAACAGAAGCTGTGCACTTGCGCCTTCGGTGTCGAATATTGTCATCCCTGTCGTAGGAATAAAGATATATCCAGACAAATTTGCATTACCGCGTAATGTATATGCACAAGGAAATCGATCAATCCTGTCGCCAATGTAAACTTATGCCACACGTGATTGGAGAATTTCTTTATTCATACGCATTGTGCGATTACACAATTTCGCCTGAATGTACCCTAAGAGAGCGAACGTGCGCCGAAGTGGGGAAAACGATCGGGGCGACGCGGCGCGGTGGTTCTAGAATCCGACGTTCCGTTGGTTGCGACAGTCGGTAGCGGCGCGTTCCAGGCGCCAGTCGCGGTAATCATGTATCCTTTGGCGCGTTTACGTACCCCAACGCGAGCCGTCGCGACGACGACGGTTCCGGTGCTCTTTATCCGCGTAGGTCTCGTATCGCTCGCGTTTTTATGGTGTCCGGTGTCATGCCAGGAGAACAGCTTGACGAATCGCATGAGGGCGATCAGCGAGGATCTGGACCGGCAGCTGAACGAGATCATGGCTTCGCAGGCGCTCAGCTACTCAACAGTCAACACCGTCGGGCTGCCGTACAACGCCACCACCAAGTTCAATCCGAAGGGTATGGGCCAGCTGTACAATGTGACAAATATGTTCATCGACTTGGTGCAGAGCAAACAGGCGTATCCCGAAGGTAAGTGCCTTGCATATCCCTGTCCTCGCATATCCGCGGTGGAAGCGCCCGTGCGCGAGCGTCGCGAAACATTATGGGGGTTTTCGGGGTTAGGATGGGCGAATTTTCGTCCTTCATCCGATGGTTACGCCCTGCTGTAAACGCACCCAAAAAATGGCCGGCTGCTTGTTGGTAAACAGAAACGGCTGTCAGAGAAACGCGGGCCATGTTAACGGTTATTGACAGATGATTCGCGTCGCTCGCCCTCGGAGTTGCTAAGGTAGACTTTATCTCGCCGCCGGAAACGGTGGATCATTGTGGAGCAAAGAAAGCGCAAGGAATTAAGTATTGAAATTCATATTTTCAGCAACGATGAGTGAAATGTTTATTTCAATAAAATCTGTGATTTTGAGAAATAAGATGTTAAATGTGTTTACATCTGGCGTATGTTTACAGTAGAGATTTTTTGCAGACTTTTTAAACTCACATATTTTATGTCTTGTGCAATTAATGTGAAAAAGCTGTTTCTTGTTTTATTTGAATTATTTTCACAATTGAGCTCAAATAATCACAAATAAATGTATATTCAGTAGAAAGATGAAATAGTGAAAGTATACGGTGCAAAATTCACGAAGTATCTTTATGTTTGAGGAATATGCTTAGTTCCTTAGTTGCTTGTCCTTGAAAATCATCAGCGAATTACGGTACCGTATTTCGCTAATAAATTGTAACGTGAACCGGGCTTCGAAAGCGGACGCGATCGTCGCGTAAGCGAGGTCGGCGGATTATGCGTGAAGGTCATGAAATCGAACGATATAAGATTACATTTGCATCTCTGTCAGCAATCTGAGAGTTTTTACCTAAATTATATATATTTTTTTTAAGTACTACACTGATGAAGTAAAATTAAAAGAAAAATTTAATTAATTCGACAAATTAATTAATTTATCTTAGAATCGTATGCAAATCCTTGCGAGCAATCCTAAAACAGATATAATAATCTGTGTTAACTAACTCTAACGATTCCACATCGTCTATAATTTACATTCTACTAAAAATAGACAGACGAGAAGAATATTTAATCACTCGCGGTTAGCGCTAATTGATATTACTGCAATTTAAATAGTGAACGGCGAGATCGCTGTGTACGATCGCTATTACTTGATATAAAAGCGACGAGAAAAAACGCACTGTGTTTTTGTCAGCTAAAACTTGCTTACTGAATTTTTAGAACTCTAAATTATACATATGCAACGTATAGTTGCATATTCTTCTGCATAAATTATCACAAAAAATTACTACCTTTTATATACATATTTTAATTGCAATTTTCGCATATAATGTGAAAAACGCTAACAATAGGCAAGCTAGTCACGTTACATATTTCATTAAAAGAATTAAATTTGTTCATTTGTATGAGGCAAAAGTTTTCCAGTGGTTTAAATTACGAATTTATTCCTTCGAATGGATGATATCTTCGAATCTGGTTTTTGCGCGACTCGTGCAAATTCATGCGACGTTCCTACACTCGTCTCCATGAAATATTCCCTACAGACAGGATTTGCGTCCAGCGACGAAACTATGCATCGGAAGAAAATCGATATCAATTTAGAAGATTTGGTACGCGCTCGCTCATGCGCGTCGCTTTTTTATTCCGTTCTGATTGGATTTATGCAACTGTCTATCCATTGTTAACCCGAAATGCGACTCACAATAGGCATGAAATGAAGCATTCACGATTTTTTTATATTTAAATGGATCCGCAACAGTCGGACAGCTTTTTGTACGTGATTCAGTCGGTCAGGATTTTTCGACTATTATTCCGATATTCAAATTTTAATTTTTGCGATGGAGATCCGTTTCCCATCGTTTATCGTTTTTACTCGACTAATGTAATATTCTTCCATTTGAACATATTTGATTTTATTGTTACGTAAAATAAATACAACTTTCTACACGCATTAAACTCAAAGTTTAGCGCTCAGTTTTCTATTTTTTTCATTAATTGCGCGATAATTATTACGAAAGCGTTTTTAACATTGCTAAAATTTATTCTTGCTTGTAATTATATATTACGAGAATGAAATTAAAAATCTGCTGCTGCGGCTTGCACGAATAGGGTAGAGAATTTTCGTATAACATTAGCGGTACGCGAACGCTTTCCTCGCTTAGTGCAGGATAGTTCGTTAAAAACTCCGATAACTCAATGAAGTATGCGGATCATTGACCCCCCAAGCGCAATATAATATAGGAACGTGTAGTATATCGCGTCTAGCAGGAAGTTGATAGTGAGAGCGTGTCATCGTCCGTCCACAGAAGTGCGAGAGCTCCGACAATCTCTCAGAATTCTCTTACTCGCCATTGTATTGTCTGTCGACAAGACTTTCGTTAGAACGACACGTGCATCATTGAAAAAAAAACAACGTAGGAATATTATATATAGTACAGTCAAAAAGCCTATTAATAGGATTTTATGATGATAAAATTTTTTGACTGGTATTAATACATTTAAAGAATTTTTACCGTCTTCTATTTTATTGTTTTTTAACGTCTTTCTAATTTACGGACGAAATTGTGGAGGTTCTGACGTTTTTTAAATTCAGACTTCTTATTAATCATATCAGTCTTGGCCTACGTTCAAGTAAATACTGAAATATATGAAATCTAGAGTGCTCAAGAAAAGATAGTAGACCATGAATTGTAAATCTCTCACAGATAAACGCGCCGCGTACCGCCTTTTCGGAGTTTGCATTACGCCACGATTTTGCACAACTACATTTCAGAGTAAATCAATTCGCCGGCAACAACGAAACAAAGTTTGCAGACTCGCCACAATATGATCGGTGCTCCGCAACAATCTAATTTCGCCCGAATTTGCGCGACGGATTTAACGGCACCGGATGCGATGGAAACTGGAGACGCACGCGCGTGTAAACTAGCTCGGCAGCTTTTCCGTATTACATACGCCGGCAGCGCGCGCGAGGGCTCAGGTGATTCCGAATTATAAACTGAAACCCGACACCGCACCGTGTCGACGCGGTTGGTTTGGCGCTCGCGGAAATTACGGGGCGGCGCGGAATTGGATTTCGATAGTCGCTAACACTTCTATCCGCGGCTGTTTAGCGGCTCGTGACGGCTGTTTCTCCTTCGGGGATGACGTTGCTTCTTTTTCAAGTTTACCCTCCGATCCGCGTCGGTATAACGGCACTTTTAACAGTACGGATTATTCCTGACACACAGCTGACGCTCCTCTTATCGCTTCATTTCGCGCTCGATGATCGACGAGAAGCGGAACCGACGATATTATTGAATCAGAAGTTATGTAGCAGTTAATCACGTTATTAATTCTTATATAAATTTTTACAATTACTATTTATCAATATTTTATATCTATATATTTAAAAAGGTAGCTGTTTTCACTTTTTAATTTTTATTTATTGATTATATCATCTTAAAATTTTACGATTATGAGTGCCTTTATTATGTATATGCGTGCATCGAATACTTTTACACACAATCCCGGAATAACATGTCTGTTCTTTATTATTAGCCGTCGTTTGCAATATGTAATAATCTTGTTGACGATGACGCTTTGTCGCGTTAGCAATTAATTTGATGCACAGTTCGCAACATCTCGCGTTATTAAATCAGCACGACAGTTTGGTATTTTTTGGCTATGATTTATTACGGAAGCAGATAGGAAGACAGCGATTAGATTAAGAGTCGTATAAATAACATTGGCGTTGTCGTATCAAAGTTGCACAATCAAGACTTGCAATCAAGACTAAAATAAACACTTACTATAGTTTTCGTACATTACAGTTTTATTGTGTAAACTTCAGTAAAAAATCAATATTATTTCTGCAATAATCTAATATCAGTGAAAATATCTCGGATTCATAGATTAAAAAAAATGGCGTGTTTCAAATTGAATCACCCGATAATTGATTCGCGAATCGATCGACGGCTTGACGCGCACGTCATTCACTATATAGCTTATACATTAAATTCTCCGTTCAGCGCCGGATGATTTACGATGTCAGAGGTATCTTGTTCCGACAGCTGGCGGTCGATATTATTTTATTAGTGTTTTCCGTAAAAAAGATGTCATGTGGGTACGTTTGCATGCGTTAGAGCTCAGTCACTCGACAGCCGGTCCGAATAGCTGTATATCGATCTCGTCGCCTGATTTCCGTCGCACAAAAGCCCGCCGTTCGCGCGACGTTTCCTTTCCTAGATAAAGAGAGAGAGAGAGAGAGGCGAGCGTAGATTCGAAAGAGAAGCGAATACAAAGTGACGGAGACATTTCACGAGTCTGTCGAGTGTCCTTGCGCATTAATCTTTCGTTCGACGGAATTACCTTAACTTCCTTTCTCATCCGGAGAGTCTGCGTGATACACCGTTCTTCGAGATATAATTTCAGATTGAATTGCGGATTTATTATTGAGCAGCTTGATTTATATATGCGCAGCTGCATTTGTAGCGTTATTTATACATTCCGTCGGTCGTCAACCTGTAACTCTCAATAAAAGGCTGTGCGTCGTGAATAAGATTGCACTATCGTGATTAAGTATCGATATCTCGGTGTATCTTGTTATTATCAGATTGATTACTCAAAGTAATGTCGCTGCGACAAGAAAAATTTTCCAGCTTTCGTGGAATCGTTTGTTTTTTTTTTCGATACGTGACAATGATTTCATAGAACATAAAAGGATCGGAAAAAATGAAATGCAGGAAATGGAATTGCACGTCCGCAGCGACGATTGATGTATCTGATTTTTTGTCGGTACATAATCCTATAAAATTTTTATAGTGCTGCTACTTTTTCTGTCATATTTTTTTCTGCTCCATCGGCAAGACTTAATTTTCGAAACTCTGCCTCCACTTTGCATTTTATAGTAACTCCCTTAAATTTTTTATCGCGGAGAATCATCTCCCGCAAAAGCATCGATATATACATGTTACCACCATGAGTGATGATAAGGATAAAAGTGAAAAATTTGGAACCATCAGTCGCTGAAAGTCGATTTTATCTCCTTCCATCGTCGCATTATCACGTGATGCATACTTGAATAATGACATTGTTTAGAATTAAGCAAACCGGAAGTGTCTAAAATCACGATGAAAGTACTTTCGGCATCGAAAAAATTTTCAATGGAATACTGCTTGTTGCTATGCAGATACGTTGCGGGAAAAAGTCAGTAAACAGAGTAAAAAACGCAAACTCGCGTAAATTTATTCTATGTAGGACATTCTGTTCTATCGGTCTATCGATTGCCTTTTGGCCTTTAACATTTTTCATAAAATTGAGCTAAATAAATATTCCGCTAACGCGATACTATCGATTAAAAGATCCTCATACGGAATTCGACACTTCACACGTACATTGTGTTTATGAAGCGAAGCTATTTTAAAATAAACGTGTTTTATCGTTTGCATTGTAAACGTGTGCGCGTTCGCACGGTTTCTGAACTCGAGCAAGCTTACCGTAAAACGTGACTGCTGCTGCAAGCTGCTTTAACAGACGACCAAAGCGGACGAAACGTCGTTGTTTGCCAAATAATACGATAAGGATTTCGTGAACGCGAGCAGCATAGTCGATTGTAGAACTTTGATATGTTCAATCATATGTATGTTTCATGTGGATTAACATATTTGTTCGATCTTTAAAAATTGCCTGTCATACAACAAATAACATTTCACTGAAACTAACGGCATATTTTACGAACAAAATATTGTTTTAATTAATATTCAGAAATATACAGAGTGTTAAGAGACAACTTTTAATGAATAAACTTTAGGAATATATAGAGGGTATCCTAAAATTACCCGTTAATGGCAAATTTCTGAGATCATTTGGAGATGAAAATCTTAATATCAAAATGTCAAGGCTGCAAAAGTTTTGAATGAGAAGTGTTCAAAGTTGACCAATCAAGTTGTCAAAAAGTAATGTGGTATTAAGATGTAGAGACATCTAAAACATCTAAAACAAAAAATTTATAGAAACGTAACATTTGTTATTATTTCGTTTTTGAAATGCAGTGGTGCAAAAGAATATTTGTAATTATTTAGAATAATTATTTATATATAACGTTTTATACGCCAACAGTCTTATTGAATTTTGTCAACGCTGTGAAAATTCTTTCGGCATGGCTCTGGACGCTTTTATCGTAGTTATTTTCGAACAAGACACCATTTTACTGAAATATGTTAATGGAACGTCGTGTGTTTTCATAAATTCCAAAACCGCATTGTGATTACTCACTCGTTTCTAGGGACTTAAAAACTTAGTTGGCATGACTCATGTGGGATTTATCCTTTCTCCTGTCGCGACACTCACTTGGATGATTCGCTTTATAACGGAACACATGGCGAAAAACTGGGACAATAATAGGAGTGATGCATAGATACTTACACGGTGTATCAAGCGCATGAATTTCACACAAGACAGGCGGAAGAAAAGAAACACGTTCGAGACGAGCAATAATCCTTCATTTTCTGCGTCTTCAACTTTTTCTTTAATTAAGAAACGGGCGAGTTGAGAGAAGCCCGCAGCTGAAAAGAAAGCACGACAGTTCTGGGACGTTCTTTATTAACGCGTAGATTTATATCGCATATTTCGCTCCGACACTCAATGCACGCCTCTTTCTCCTTCTCTCCCATTTACGTCATCAACGCAATTCGATATTACATACCTAAATCCGCGGTGTGTGACACGCATGGTTGCGCGCATCCGTCGATACAATCCGTCGTTGTACGCAACGATGTACCCAGAAGAGTGTATTTAAACGATGGAGAACAAAAGCCTCGTAAATCGCGGCAATAGGTACGCGTACTATTTCGCTCGTGTATCGTGTTGATTTACGATACCGCGAGTACAATGAGACGGTACATTACATTATACTATGTTATAGGTAATTAATGATATTTGCATTTCATAAACCGAATGTACGTATGATATATGTGTCGCCTAATCTATTCATAAAATTAATAACTTAAACAATCTCAACTAATTAATATTGTTTTATTATAAACGTATACAAAGATAAGTGTACGAAAAATTCTTCAAGACATCATTTGGACGAAAAATTGTACTTTTAAGAAAGTAATTGCGCATTTTAGAAGATATACTTTAAAGATTGCGATATGATTCATGCAATCTTTATTTTATTATATCTAGGCATTTCTTATTTTCAAAATAGTTTCACAATCTAGTTTCACAATTGAGAATGTATCACACTTACAATACGCACGTTAAATGCGCATAGATAACGCCATATGTCGCTTGATAGAAAAGTGCATTATCAACAGATTTGCGCGGTAGTTGACAATGCGATTTGATAATAATACCATCTGACAATGAGAGATAAGATATCGATCGAAAATGCCGGCTCGAAATGCATGACGCATCCGCGGTAATCTCCTTCGTTGCTTTTAATGCGACTACGTTCGGCAATGTTCCTTCTCGATGGCTCAAATGCGAGCAGATGTTGCCAAAGAAAGTCTGCGTCCCGCTCGACGGTTAATGTCATCGGAAGGGACGCAATCTTTTCTATAGAAAGAGTATGGAAAAGCTTTCTTCTCGCTCCACGTTGATAGAAAATCTATAAAAGATTTGTCGGCGTGTTGAAAGAAAGGGGAATATATCGATAGTACGTAGAATAATAAATCACACGTAAGTTTTTGAATATCCATCAACCGATTGAAGTTAATTTAACTGCGAAGTCGCGGTGATTGTCGGCTGTGAAAATCATACGCGAGAGAGTCACAGCTGTGCGAAAATCGGGGATTTAATTTCCGGACGCGCGCGGAAGTATTAAAGTCAACCCGAAACACGCCAAAACGACGCGAGGGTTTATCGTGTCCCCGATACACACGCCTCGTTTCACAGACGAAACTCCGTGCGTTTCCAACTGGCAATTTACGTGTGTCCGATATTCCGGCGAAATTGCGACTTGTAGCAGCAGGGCAGCGCGGCAACGGAAGCTGCATTAACGATCGACGAGTAATCTCAACGCTGGCGATGTAATGTACGAGCTTGTGACAATCGCGAAAAACTGCTGCATACAACTTCACATACGCATTGATTGTGGAGAAAACAAAGGAGCGAGCCTTTTCTATTCTCTTTTTCATTAAATATTGTTTTATTATCTACGTTAAGTCTTGCAAAGCTGGAAGTTTTAAAGTTTGGAAGTAATGACTTTTTAAATGTCTTTTTATCTTTATCTATTTCTGTCCTTTTCTCGACGCTGAGAAACTCTGCAAATTGTTGCAAATACAATATTGGACTTTGCAAGTCCAAGTTTTACAGAGAACATTTCTGAAAAACATCGCAGGTACTATTGATTTATTTGTCGACTATATTTCGCTGCGCCGGGAGTCGTAAATTGTCGCAAATTGCGCAAATATTCCGCGATCACCGTACAGATATATACATATATGGCCGAAGAACATTTTTACGCAGAAAACGAAAATATACGAGTAAGAGCCGCCCTAAAGTTAAAACTGCTATAAATTCCTTATTTCGACGGATTTGATCACGCGCGTCGCGACGGATTCTAAAAATGCCGATAATAAAACATTAAGCGGTCATTGACACGATTTTCTCTCTATTGTGAACCTGCGAATGCGTAATTCTAAATTGATGAATAAGCAAATAATTAATTGATTTCAAGGTAAATTAATTTTCTCTTCAAACAAAAATAGTGAAGATCGGTTCGTGAGGTAAAAAAAGATATTTCATCTGATCTATCGATATGGCTTAAAAGGTTTTCATGTGTATCTCCTTTGACCAGAAAAGGCATTAATGTAGAGGGGAACTAATAATTTATAAGCGGTCGTTATTAAGCGCGACCTTGTGCCATGCTGAGTACGCTTGATAAACACTTTCCACAAAACGCGAACGTTGCGGTCTGAGGATTCGCTAGTCCTCTTTAACATATGTTAATTGACCTCGCCTATAGATAAAAATCTCATTAGCTTCTCGGTGTACAGATCCAGGCCAAGTACAAGTGCAAATAAGTCGTAAAAATTGCAACTCTTCTGCGTAATCAGGTGTATTGCATTGTGCAATTATTGAGAAATCATGACTGCTGTTTGTTCAATGAACAGATGTCACAAATGACACTTGTGTTTCTACTAATCACTCGATGAATCTTCAACAAAAAAAAAAAAAAATTAAAATGCTAATAGATCTTCGTTATCGCGTTATCGCGACCTTCAAACACAATGCTCGTGGTTAATGGCTCGAGAGAACATTGTTCTTTGCTTATTTGTCCTCTTTACTTTTAACGTGCCCGGGCAACCATTCATTTTTCATTCAGGGATCAGCGAACTCCAATATTCGATCATTTCACATATTTTGATGTCTCTATTAATGAACAAAACACTATTCTCGGATTATACTGCTGAAAATTAAGGGCGGAAGGAATAATTATGACTCAATTTTATTTTGCAGTTTCCATCAATCGTTATTTTATGATCAAAACAGAAATTATTTAAGCTTCTTTCACTCTTCGTTGACATCCTGCGACATCCTTATTTGCATTAGTCTGAAAATGCGCATTGTATTTACAGTTATATTTTTAATTCAACTTCAGAATATAGAGATTTGTATTTTTTAATAGTTTTTATTTAAAATAGATAATCCACCGAAGAATAAAAGCATTGTAAAAATGATTTAAAAATGCATTATATAAATCGAGTGCGGTAAACGAAGGATAAAGTTCTTTTAAATTTTTATACGCGCCTCCGAATGTCAACAAGGGTTTTTCGTATTAGCATAGTTAAAATCCAGGATAAATATTTATCAAGCTTTCAATGTTTATCACTGTGCGATTCAGGATCGGAGAACCGAGGTATCTAAAACGAAAAACAAAAGAGACACGTGTCGAAGGGAATGAACGACGAGAAGAAAGAGGCGAGAGGAAGGTATAAAAATGTGAAGTAGTATAAATCGGTATATAAAGAGCAACGCGCGGCAGCGGTCTTATTCTCGTTTTACTGAAAACACCATCGATCTGTTCTATTTTCGTAAAGGTAGGAGCGCACACATACGCACGCGCGCGCGCACACACCGTGAACGCGTGTCGCGTATGCGATAAAACGGTGTATAACAGCGAACGATGCATCCAACAGCATCGTCCGGCATGTTGTCCGGAATTCGCGCGGAAACACGCATTTCCGACGTCTACCCGGTGCTCGCGCGATGATTCTGTTATTCAGAATTCTGGCGGCAAATGATGAACGAGGACAGTGGAGAGCGCGACAGATAGAAAATTGAGCCGCAAACATTCGCAACTGTAAGCCGTTCGCACGAATATTTTCAGAGAATCTCCGTTCGATAATCGAAAGGCACGACGATATCGCGAACATCCGGTTTTGCAGCGGCGGTTCGCACGCTGAAATCTCTTTTTTTTTTCGTTCTCCCGTCCTCGTATCGTCGGCGGCGACCTCTCGGAGCGTTTTGCAAGTCGAGAAACGCGACACGTGTCTTACAGGTGCTCGCAGAGAAACGAAAACTCCTCTCGCGTACGAACGGAAGCGGCACATGTGTCCGTCGATGCGGCGCGAGGTCGTCACCTCTTGGTTGGCGTATCACACGACGCACACACGCTTGGAATCTCGGCTGGAAAGCTCGAGTTCAATGCGCTACTTAACTCTTTTAGACCTAACTTTTTTCCCGTAATTAAAAAAATTTTCATCAATTTTTTTCTGCACATAAAGTTTTAGAATAGCATACGCATAATTAATTATTTTTTTAGTCATCAGATGTTATTATAAATGTTACGTACATTCTTTCAGAACTCTGTGAATCGTAAAACTTGAAAGTTATAATTATATATTTTAATGCTTCTCTCATTTGCGTATGTACAATTTTAAATATTAAAAAGTAGTTATATTTCTCTAAAACAAAAATTCAATATTTCAAACACATTTGATATCTTTTTGCAGGTATCTGATTTTATATAACATGGGAAAAATATACACATAAATTTCAGTGCATCATAGCATTCGTAATAAAAATAAAAAAATATATATATGTACATCGAGAGAGACACCACGAATAAAATGCTGTACATTATTACATCTAAATTCTTGATAAAGCATACATTATGCATTAGGTCTGAGAGAGTTAAGCGCTGGTTGAACGACACAAAGCGAAAACATGTTCAACCTCCATATATTTCTATATACCGGGTGATTCAGTGCGTATTAATCAGTCGTTTTTGATGAAAAACAGACACATTTTGCCGCATTTTATTCGCAAATATGATCCACGCTTATTCAATCCGCATCTTATAATTTGCATTATTTTATATAGATAAGTCTTTCGCTGGCATCGTTCCCTGATTTCGATAAAACCGCGCCACGCAGACTGCTCTGCGTTCCCCGTATTCTTGTGTACACGTTTTCCGCTTAGATCACGCTCGCACTCGTGCTGGCGCGTGAGTCATGCGAGGGCAGTAGCACCAGTGGCGTGTACGCCGAGCTAACAACTTTTGGCACGTCGGCTTGCGGAAAATATGCAGAGAAATCTGCCCGCAGTAAAATATGAATTTTTTATCGCATTAAGAATACAGGCTGTGTGTTTTATCCAATTTAGCCACAAGAATATTACTTTTCGATGGTATAGAAAAATGAATAAGAAGATGAAAGAATAGCGAATGGAATAACAATTGACGCATCACTCAATTTCTCGCACAGGTGCAGCGGTGCTTTTGTGCAATTAAATTTTTTTAAATGCAATTA